ACTATGTACTTGCTTTGATATTCCATACAGTGCTGATTGCTGCCCATATTACCCCAAGTCCAAACAGTTGAGACAATCTCTCACTGGTCACAGCAGACTCAGTGTCTCAAAAGAGAGCTTATCACCATTTCTCACTTCCCAGCCAGTTAGGCTTTGAAAGAATGGAGACCACAGCCTTTCTTTAATGTATGTCCAATTCTTTTTGATGTCAACAAACACACATAAGGTGAACAAATAATAGAAAGAATAATTAAAATTGCCACAATGCAAGGTACTGCTATCTAGTTTCTGTTTCTGACTTTCTGACTTAGATATTATTTCATATTGGTTAAAAACATGGCCAGTTCAAAAGGTCTGATGCATTTGAGCTATTGTTTCAAAAGCTTATCAAATTTGTTTTCCATGAATAATTACTCACAGAATAAAGTACTTTGTTGGTAAAGAACTATCAGCTATGAAAACTTGGTTCCCTTCACATTTTTTCTTTCTCACAATTCTTTCCTTATTTATTGGCTAAATAAAACATTTCTCCTGTGACAGTTTGTAAAGTAAAAAGAATATGCAGCCAGGCAGTGGTTGTGCACAACTTTAATCCAAGCACTTGGGAGGCAGAGGTAGGCGGATCTCTGTAGATGCTAGTCTGGTCTACAAGACCTAGTTCCACAATAGGCTCTAAAGCTACACAGAGAAAGTCTGTCTCGAAAAACCAAAAAAAAATATGCTTAATTTTTGGTTATTTTAGGTCTGTTTCCTGAATATTTAATGCCAGTAAGGATACCTTTTTTAATTTGATTCTTCTTATATGTTTTTATTACATTTGAGTTATAGGGAGAGAAGTTCACTTTGATCTTATTTTCAAGTCTTTACAATCCATTGTTCTCCTTTCATGATGATATTTTTTTAACCATAGCCTTTAGAAAATAAAGGACTTAATTGACTCAGGTGCTCCATCTATGTGATCCCTGTGAAGTAACCACCATTGTCACTAAGGGACTTGGCCTGTAGCGGGCTCATGATCCATCCCCATTTTCTCATGATAATTTTTTTAACTATGTGAAAAAGGATCTCTGATCATTGGCCAATCTACTTTATATTTTCCAATGTTCACATTCATCTCCTGATTCATTTGTTCAGGAAATGATGCATCCTAAATTTAAAAATAATTATATATTCCAATTTGTATTCATATGTGTTCTCCCATAGCTTTTCTCTGAAAACTCATGGCATCACGTTCTTAAAGACTAAGAAGAGGCCTTATATTGGGTCATAAAATGAATTGATGACTAAACATTTATAGAGGTACACACTGGATTTGGTCTCCATAAGAAAAATTAATTGATAGAAACATGAAGACATTTATGGGTTGTGATATATCTCAGTGATAAAGAACTTTCTTAGCATGTGCAGGGCACTGGACTCAATCCACAGAACAGCGTGTTCTTGCACACACACACACACACACACACACACACACACACACACACACACCAAAAGAGAAATTAAAAAGTTAACAACTTTCCAAATATTTACCATATTCTCTTTCAATCTTCTACAAGGTTATTAAGAACAATAGCCAGACTGAAGAAAGTTGAATATTCTCACTGCTAATTCTCCAACTTGTAAGCTTTAGCAATAAATTGTTTGTTGGTTAGTTTGTGTGTTTTGCTTTGACAGGTGCTTGATTTGTAGCCTCTGTTAGCTTTAAGCTTTTATGTAGTTCAGATTGGCTATCGGCTTGCAGTCCTTCTACTTTGGCCTTTTGAGTTCAAGTATTATAGGCATACAACAGCCTACCTGGCCCAAGCCAGTTTCTTTTTAAAACTTCATGCCTCAGTTTCTATAAGGATGGAATTAAGGAGTAATATTACTTGTCATAGAGTTATTGTAAAGATTAAATTTCAATTTGTATTGCTGTACACATAGCATTAAACAAATGTTAGCCATTTTGTTTTGTATATGATACCCTGCTCATTATACCCTATACCTCTCCATTTATTAACAACAAAGCAAAAATTTACAGAGAAATTATACTAGTCAGGATTCCCTAGGCCTCCAGTAGGAAGGAGAGATGGATGGTAGGTGGGAGAGAGGGAAGGAAGGAAGAAGAGTGAGAGATTGACAGATTTGCTTGGAAGGTTCATAAGACTATGGAGACTAACAAGGTCAATGATTTTGTATCAGCATGCTAGCAACCCAGAACAACTGGTGCTAGAGAGCAGATACAAGTAAAAAAGCAAAATAGTAAATCTCAGTCCCAGGACAGATCAATGTCCCAGATGAAATAATACAGAAAAGAGGCTGCCTTTATTGTTTATTTCTGGCCTTCAGCTGATTTGCATAAAGCATACCCACATTGGGGAAGGTAATCTACTTTGCTGAAACTACAAATTCCAATGCCAATTTCATGTTTTAAATCATTTTAAAATACCTTCATGGATACATTTGGAAATAATGTCTATTTTGGGAACAGTGAAATTTACACATAAAACTGACTATCACAGATATACAGTCAGCATTGGTGCATATTCTTTTTTGTTCTCTCTCCCTCTGCCTCTTGCTGTCCCCCCATGCACAAACACAGATACATTATCTATTTATTTTGTCAATTAGTCATTAAACAAATATTTGCTATCAGCTCCTCTGTACAGGGTCCAGGGAGTAAACATAAATGGATGAGTGGAGACACACCCATGCAAGGTGAAGCCCCTACCACCAAGAGGTTCATGTTCTATTTTAGGAGACACTCATTTCCTGGTATTACTGGATGGTACTATACAAATTTTCCATGTATAAACCATGTGCTATGAGCATGCTGAGGAAGCAATTAATTCTCACCCAGGAGATAGAAAATTAAGCATATAAACTCTAATATAGTATCAGTGGGAGAAAAGGTGGTTAGGGCATTCTGGAGAGGAACAATGGCAACATGAACTCCCTTATATATGTGGAATATTGCAGAAGAGCTGGCTGGTTGGTAGACTCAGCACACAGAGTATGACTGACAGAGCAAAGGTCTAAATCTGGGCAAACAAATCTGAAATGTTGCTTGTACTTCCCTGTGTATAACAGTAAGGGAAATCCTGCATCATTTTGAAACCATGCTTAGTGAATCCCAACCAAAGTGGGACAAAGCTAGAGAAATAATAAAACAAAATTCTAGATCTCCATTAGATATTTCATTGATATTGGAAAGTCAGGGTTGACATTAGTTTAGACTACTTGATAAAATTGAGAACTGCTTTATTTACAGCACATGATCTTCAATTCTGGTGCCTGCGGGCGATCTCTGAACATTTCCTTGTTTAGCATAGGCTGTTTAACAACCAAACTAAGACCCAGAGTTACTGAGGAGGATGCCTGGAGCCACCACTAATCCTGAGTTGGTTAAATGCCAGATGACAAAGTATAGATCATTTCACATCTTCCAAAAGTTCTCCCCCTTTCCCCACCAAGAATGGAATTCAGGAAGTTTAAACAGGACAGTGTGTAAATGTACTATAGAAAAACCTAATAGGAAAAAGGAATGACAAGATTTATCCCATGCTGCCTGGGGCATATTTCTTATTAATTTCTAAATGCGCTGAGAAATGAACTCTGAAAATTTCTTGCATCTCACTACCTACATTACCACAAATTTAAGCCTTGCCTCTGCTTTGTATTGTGTGTGTATTTACATAAATGTGTGTGTGTAGGTACATGTGTGTGCATGTGTTTATTCAGACAGGAACCTGAAAACAACCTCAGGTGTCACCATCATGAGCACCATCTACCTCCTCTGAGATAGTGTTTCTCACTGGCTTGGAAAAAATAATTAGGGTCCATTGACTGGCCAGAAACCCCTGGGGATGTTCCTGTCTCCTTCTCCCCTGCACTAGCATTATAAGCATATGCCACCACACCCAGTACTTTTAATTAGGTCAGTAGTTATCAACCTGTGGGGCAAGACCCCTTTGGGGGTCTAATGACCCTTTCACGGGGGTCACATATCAGATAGTCTCCATATCAGATATTTACATTATGATTCACAATGGCAGCAAAATTACAGTTTTGAAATAGCAATGAAATAATTTTATGGCAGGGGTGGGGTGGGGAGGCCACCACAACATGAGGAACTGTATTAAAGGATTGCAGCATTAGGAAGGTCAAGAACCACTGACTTAGGTTCTAGAAATCATCAAACCAAAGTAATTGTACTTGTGACTGCAAATACTTTATTGACTGAACTATCCATACAACTCATCCATTTTTAACTGCTGTTCTTTTTTGAAACTGGGTTTCTCTGTGTAGCTTTGTAGACTAGGCAGGCCTCAAACGCACAGGGATCTGCTTGCCTCTGCCTCCTGAGTGCTGGGATTAAAGGCATGTGCCACCACCACCCGGCCTTTAGCTTGAATATTTTACTGTACTTTTTGTTTCAATTTGCTCTGTTCTCATTTGTTGAGTTGAGGCAGGGTCATACTATGTAGCTTTAGGTAGTGCAAATGTATTATTCTCCTGCTTCAGCTTCTCAAATGCTAAAATTTCAGGTTTGTGGCATCAATGCCAGATTAATAGTTATCATCAACTTTTGGTTGGTTGTTAAGAATTAACTACAACTCTATAACTAGTAATAATTTATTAAAATTAACAGAAATTATTTGTCAGAAATAATCTACTTAAGTCACAAAGCCAAATATATATTTACAATTTCCTAAGCATTCTGTAAAATAAATTAGAATGTGCACTTTATTGGTGATTTTCAATGAAGGGAGTGTAAAAAGTATCATTTCAAAACTTCAAAATGCAATAAATTATTTTATGTTTGAACTTAGTTTGACCAAAAAAAAAAATGAGTCTTGGAGACCGTTTACAGTTAGGACATATTAAAACCAATGTTATGAATTGTCAAGTTGCTGTTCTTAGCCTTAGAGACCCAAAACATCTTACCATAAAGGAAAGTGTTTTAATTGTTCCTCATTAAAAGTGATGAGAAAATATCATTTCTCTCCTTTTCCTCCCAGGTGGCTGTGGAGGATCGTGTCAGACAACTGCATGAAGCCCACAGGGACTTTGGCCCAGCATCCCAGCACTTCCTTTCCAGTAAGTCATTTTCATTGTTCACTGATTAACCTGTTCATTGTGTCTTGATGGCTAAACATTAGAAGGAGCTGAGTTAACAGGCATCTTGGTCAGATACATTAATGGTATATTTCATCCTGAACTACAGCTGGGTGGAACACAAGACCTAGTTAGATCATTTTCTCTAGTCACCAGCCAAAACACAATCATTCCCTGTAGTATGTTCTCCAATATTGACTTCATTAATATTTTAAACATCACTGCCTATATCCACTCACTGTGTAAAACTGATCATTATATAATCATGATGTCATCACTCAATATATGTTATTACAAGTCTAGTTTTTTTTCCCTGTGCTATAGGTGAAATTCAGTGCCTTGTTCATGCTAGGCAAGTGTTGTACCATTAAGCTAAATTCCTAACTTTTGTTTTTGTGAGACAAGGTCTCACTGTGTGCCTGAAACTGACTTCAGACTCACTATCCTTTTGTCTCAGCCTCTCAAGGGCTAGAATTACAGAGATGTGACAACACACCCAACTATAGTTCTTAACAAAAGTCATTAACTTCTTTCATCTCCAATTGTTCTCTTTCCCTAATTATCCTTGATTCTCTTTATCCTTCATTTTTACTGTTTTTTTATTTAACAGTTTTCATAATTGAATTTTGTAAACAATTACATTATTTACATACTATCAATAAAAATTACATGTTTTGTAATTAATACTAAGAAAAACAGCTTTAGTTTACTGAAAGTTTTATGGGAACATTCTATTGGTATATCAATGCAAATCTAATTGGTAAGCACCTGTTTTCCTCAAATTAGTTTTATTAATTTTTAATATCTCTATGGTTATATATGTTTCTATGGTAATGTACTATATATAGAGAGCTGCATTTACTTTGTAATTTGTAATATATACATTTCCATGGAAATATGTGGTGATATATTAATGCTTTATTAAAGCTTGCCTGAGGATTCAGAAAGCAAAGTCAAACACAAGTCATAGAAGCCAGGCACACACCTTTAATCTCAGCAGCCAGAAGCTAGGAGGTGGTGGTACACACCTTTAATCCTTGGACTCAGGATTAAGAGATAGACAAATCTGTGTGAGTCCAAGGCCACCCAGATCTACACAAGATTGATCCAGTCTTAAAGAGAAACAGCTCACACAACGATAATCTCAACACCTGGGATCACATACCTTTAATCTTAGCACTAGAGAGCTATAAACATTAGGAGCAGGGTCTTCAGTAGTCAGTATCAGGCATTCATTCTTCAGCCACGTTGAGAATAGGAATACCCCAGCCCTTTTAGAGGAAAAAGCACTCTGGTAACTTTGGCTTCTTTGCTTCCCTGACCTTCAGGCAAGCTGTAACAAATCACAAATAATATATCATCACAGAAGTGTTTCTTTGTGTGTGTGTGTGTGTGTGTGTGTGTGTGTGTGTGTGTTGAAGTACTAAAAAGCCACAGTTCTACTCCATATAATTATTAATACCTCTTAGCATTTGATGTATTATTTTTTAGTCCTATAGGATTATGTTGGTGGTTTTAACATCACTTAATGCAGTTACTTTGTGATATGCAATTATTATAACCAACCCCATTTAAATGAAAACAAGCATTTATAAACAATATTTGGGAATTTGGGCGTCGTTCATTCCCAACTGATTCCTGCTGGTTGGGGCAATGTCTATATCATGGGGATCATGACAAAACCCAGGAATCCTGGTTTTAGTGGTCTGTGACTGCATCATCTCAGCTGTTTTGGATGTAGGATCAGTTGGGCCACTTTATAAACATTCATTGATTTGATTCTTTCAGCAAGTCCATGAGGTGGTTCTAGTATTATACTCATTTTAATGATGATGAAATTAAGAAATCTGCATTCACTCAGCTAGTATATAAGCAAGCCAGAATTCCAACTTAAGAAGATGGTTACAGATTCTGTTTTTAACCATTACACTGCAGCTTTATTTAATATACATATAGGAAGGAAGTTATTCTGCAGGGTCTCCCTTCAAACAACCAGTGGCAGGATGTTGTGCATGAGCACACAAGTGTACTTGTGTGTGTCTCTGTATGCCTATGCGGTATATGTACTTCTTGATGTGGGCATGTACGCATGTGCATGCAGTTATGGATGTACATGGATATTCACATGCATGTGGAGACCAGAAGTCAATACTGGATAACTTTCTCTATTTTTAACTCCACTTTATTTTTGAGACAGGATCTCTCACTGATCCTTAAGCTCACCAATCCAGCTAAAGTGACTAATAGTCTAGTTCCTGAGATTCCCCCTGTCTTTACCTCTATATCACCGAGGTTACAGAGACACCGCTATTCCCAGCTTTTAAGTGGGTGCTAGAAATCTGGCCAGGGCCTCATGCTTACACAAAAAACACTTCCCCACTGAGCCACATCACAAGTCCTGATCCATTCTTGAATTGCTAACTTTTGTGTCCTTTCCTGCCTTTTCTATTAGCAATTAGTTAACAAAAAGATCCATGTTCACAAACATTTTGTAAAGTATTTCACTAGATATTTTCTCCTTTGTTTCCATTTGGTCATTACCTTAGACAACAAAAGTTCCTAGAAAATGATAGTCTTTTTTATGTATTCAAGACTAATGGATTAGTAAGAAATAATCATATTTTCTTGACTTGTTCTGTCCTCACTATCTATTTGGATGATATTTTAATTCCACATATGATTAGAAGATAAAGGGGGAAAGTTAAAGTAGTAGTTCTCCATGAGTAGGACTATGACTTTTAGTAATGCCGCTAGAAAAATTATTAAGACGGAAGATTGTCTTGGCAACAGCCAGACTATTTAATTTAATTAAGATTAAACATGATAACATGCTCCTTAGTGACTCATAATCCACAAATAAAAATATTACTATTATGAATATTATATAATTACTCCATATACACCATGTATATTCATTCATACCTTTTCTCTGCTCCCCTTTTAAATCCCAATGTCTTCTCCATTAAAACCTATTCCCAGAAAATGATATGTTACACTGATTTAACACATGTAACAGGTAAAGTTTAATGTATACTTCTCCCTGGTTATTTGCATTTTAATAGGGTAAAAATCCATAAGCCTGAGGGATGGCTCTGTGGTGGAAGAATGTCAGCCATAAGCTCTGAGCTTTGATGAGCTAGGTGAGACATCTTCACACCTTTCAAACCGTATTCATCTCATACTTTCAGGAAAGGTCAGGACTGTGGTCATGTGCACTGAGAGTGAAACTGATCTGCCTGAATGGGACCAGTCCCAAAAGTCAGAAATATTTTGAATATCTATATGGAATATCAAAATACACATAGAAGCTCCACTTAAGCATGTAAAAATATGCTAAAATGTTTAAAGTCATGTTACAGAAATAGGACAGTGAGACTAAATATGGAATCTTCATATTATGTTATTTAAATTCAAGGGCAATATACATTCATCTAGAAAAATTTTACAACTGTAAGATCTTAGAGGAAAAGGGCAATTATCAATAATCTCACTACTCCGACACAACACTCTCTAAAATTTTCAATTTGTCTGGGTTCAAGTTCTTCTGTTTTCTGTTTTATTTTCGTCTCTTGTGCATGCTAGCAAGCATTCTACTACTGACCTCTATTTCCAGCCTCTTTTTCTTTTAAAACATGTAGGAATTTTAATAAAGAAAAGGAAGCAAGTATGATACAACAGCACTTGGAAGGCAGAGACCAACAGACCTCTGTGAGTTCAAGGACAACCTTGTCTATATAGTGAGTTACAGGCCAGCCAGAGATAAACAATGGGACCTTGTCCCCCCAAAAGTTAGTCTTATGACTTGATTTTCCCCCTCACTAATATATTAAAATACTTTTGTTTACATATTCTAACAATAATTTTAATAAATTTATTCATCTACTTATTTTACACCCTAGCCACAGCCTAGTCCACTCCTCTGCTCTCAGTCTTTCTACCTATTTCCCCTCTGTTTCTACCCGTCAACCCTCTTCTCCTCCTTCTCCATCAAGGAAAGGGCAGGCCTTCCATGGATATTAACAAAACATGGCATATCAAGTTGCAGTAAGAATATGAACTTTCTCATGCATTAAGACTGAGCAAGGCAACCCAATATGAGGAGTAGGGTCCTTAATGCCAGTAAAAGAGTCAGAGATAGCCCCTGATCCCACTTTTAAGAGTCCCACAAGAGGACCAAGCTGTACAACTGTGCAACTGTAACATACATGCAGAGTGCCTAGGTCAGTCCAATACAGGCTTCTCAATCTCTGTGTGACCCTATGAGTACAGGTTAGTTGATTTCCTGGGTTTCTTCTGGTGTCCTTGACCACTCTCACTCATACAATATTTCAATTAATAATTTTAATAACTGACCAATATTTTCTTCTGTGGCTGTGCCAAATTTACCAAGAGAATTCTAGATTGTTTTAGACTAATACTATTTCAAAATTCACTATTATATCCAATATTATGGGTGCTGTTGCACAGACATCTCAGTTGCTCTCTGCAAGATAACTATCTAACCACATAATTGTGGAGGTAAAGTTTGTTTTGATTTGTAAGACTTTCCATGTAGATTATCAGAATTGCACAAGAAATAGGTGTCTGAGGCAGGGAATCTTGGAAGTCACTTATTTTCTTTCCAGTTGTTTTCTATAAAAAGTAAAACAATGTCCTTACCACAAAATAAATAAAAACAAATATATTTTAAAATTACACTAAGGTTTACTAGAAGCATTTGCTCTAGTATGTGTTTGTTTCTAGGCTGCTAGGAGTAGCAGGAGGGTGATTTCTGAACTTTACTAATGCAAAGGGAAGGAAAATGATAACTGGCCCCAAACTAATCATGTACTACTTACTTACCATCAGGCTTTCCGTTTCTTTGTCTCCTTAACTAGCACCAGCATTTTTATAGATACATACAGTGAGTCCCCTTTGGGAGCTTCCTGCCCAGAAGTCTGTTTTTTATCAGAAGAGACAGACTTTCCACGGTTTCTCATTGA